GACCCTTGTGACATGTGCCCTTGTGACCTGGTCACAAGGGGCACATATTTTGGGTGTTCACGCAAAAGAGCAGGTAAATATCAGCGGCCTGGACCGCCGCAGGTTTACGTATTCTGTGGGGACCTGTGGATGTCCCAGGGAAATCATTTTTTTTTTTCCACGTACATCTCGGAGAGAGATAAATGTCTAGAAATTTGTAATATTTATTTTTCCTCTATTGCTTTCTGGAAGCTAAAAAAAAAAATCATAATTCTTTTTCCTCTTTTGCTTTCTGAAAACAAAACAAATAATAATTGCGCATAGCGCTATATGACTGCACACAAGCATCTCGAGGCCAGGGACCAAGTTCCACTTGCAGCGGTTTAGTCCTCCGTTCGGGACACTGTGTTTTGTGCGACACGTTTCCTGACCGCTGATTCACATTGATCGTAGGGCGCATGGTCGTGAATGTTGCTATGTAGGGGTTTCCCATTGGCTGTTATAGTCGGAATGAGCTCTTTCACTCGCATGGAACAGTCCTCGTCTGTAGCCTGACCCCAGTCGGGCTAGAAGTGGGGACCTTCCATGGTCTTGTATTTCCACAGAAACTAAAAGTTTTTCCCGACAATGCCGCTGCCATACCCTTGGTTACCAGACTGACCGGCCTTTCATCATTACTGTCATTCAGCACGTTCAAATCCTGTTATTTTTCGCAATTTAAACCGTCGTTTGTCAACCAGCCGCACATTGCCACACGAAGTCACACAGTGTCGTGCAGTACTGGCTACGGGAACTAAACCGCTGCAAGTGGGACTTGGTCCCAGGTCCCGACGGTCTCCTTTCTGTTTGGGGGCCAACAAACAGGTGAGCAGTGTGACCCAGAAGTGCTGTATAAACGCAAATTCACATACATAAAATTTGCAAACACACGTGCTATTGTGATTATGCCCTCAGTCCTGGGCATGCAAATAATTTCCACCGGCCGGCTATAGGTGCACGCCGGCATTGGGACTGGGAATAGCGGGTATTCCCATCTTTAAGTGGGGTACAGATGCAATTTCCCTTTTTTTTCAAAGGAGTGCATCCAAACATGACAACACACGAAACACACACTTTCCTCGCAAGGGCGTGGGACTTCCCGCTGCTTTCTCAGGGCCAGATCCCACTGACAACGACGATTGGAAGAAGTGGCCGAATCTGGACGTGTTCCGCACAGAGATGCAGAAAAGCTGCTTCAAAAGCAGAGCAGTCACAATTTTTTCCACATCTCCACAAACATGTCCAGATTCAGACTCCTTTTCCCCATCCTCTTTGCCAGTGGGATCTGGTCCTCAGTCCGATGACTCCAGGCCGGGACCGGTAATCATCCTGTGATTCAACCCTGGTACCTGTAATGGCCCTATGATTCAAGCCCAGCACTGGAGCCGAAGTGTGTCCGCCCAGAACGCCAGAGGAACTCCACTAAGGGCGAGACCCCACTGGCGAGGAGGATTGTAGTAAGTGCCTGAATGTGGACGTGTTTGTGGACAGGTGCGAAAATTTGTGATTGATCTACTTTTCTGCATCTCTGTGGAACACGTCCAGATTCAGACAAGTATTCGAATCCTCTTTGCCAGTGGGATCTGGCCCTAAGCCCTCAGCACCTGAAGGCTGAAGCCCAGTGATCCAGGACTGCCGACCCTCTGTTCGACCCAACCTAAATTCGTTCGACCGTTCGAGGAGAAATCGGCAAGTTGGTGGAGGAGAAGGCGGGGATACAACAGAAAGTTCCGAAAATTCCGAGAAAGGTTTTGGCGGGAAGGTCCGAGCATTCCCTGGAGTCCACGTGGCCAAGTGTGCAATGGAATCGGCTGGTTGAGAACGGAAAAGGAACACAGCGACAACTGTCAACTGGGCGTTTTCTCTCTATCACGTAGGTTTGGGCTGTCTGGATTGACGCTTCTCCTTTTCGCTGTATTCTATGGAAGTCTTTCCACTAGAGCTTCAGTTTCCCTCCTCCTTATAAACCCTCTCTCTCTCTCTCTCTCTCTCTCTCTCTCTCTCTCTCTCTCTCTCTCTCTCTCTCTGTGTCTCTAGCTTCAATTCTCCTCCTCCTTATGAACCCTCTCTCTCTCTCTCTCTCTCTCTCTCTCTCTCTCTCTCTCTCTCTCTCTCTCTCTCTCTCTCTCTCTCTCTCTCTCCGGCTGATATACTCTGCAGAGGTATGTAAGCTCAGGGGAAAACAGCAAGATTGCGTGCATTCACCTTCATTCGGGTTGGGGAAGCAGTACTACAGTAGTAGGTTGCCCCCGCCGAAACAGGTAGGTGCCCTGTGTGAGAGATGTAAGTTGTTAGTCTGATCGCTGGCGCTGAACACCGATATTGCCGAGAGCGGGCGCCTTTTGAGAGTTCCGTTTTTGTACTCTTTATATTAATTTGTAGTCTGCTGATGGTACTCTCATTTTTTTTGACGTTGCTGAGCAATGATGCAAGCGTGTGTCGCTTTCGTGTTCCGTATCAATTCACCGCATAAACTTAGTTTCCAAGTCTTGCAAGTTGGCAGTTTTCTCCTAGCTGGCCTTGCGTTGTGAGAAAGCATCCTCTCTCTCTCTCTCTCTCTCTCTCTCTCTCTCTCTCTCTCTCTCTCTCTCTCTCTCTCTCTCTCTCATATTACCTTGCTCTCGCCCTGTCTTCACTTACACACTCGCACCCAGTTTTATCTGCCCGCTTCCTTGACTTGTGCTCCTCAATCTTTCATCTTGTTGGTCCGTGCGGCAGATCAACGGCTGTTGCTGCATCAACAATCGATGGGTTGCGGAGGGCAAGCGCACTCAGTCTGCTAATTTGGGGTTAGACCTAACGAAACCAGTCCTAGGGAATGGACCATCTATTGGCGTCTTTCGTCAACCTTTCACGAAGCATCGGAGACGAGGCAGAGGACGAGAGTCGAGTAAATAATAATATTTAGAATCCCCGGCTTCGGGTCATCGCTTCGCTCCTATCATTCCGTGCTTACAGTTACAGCCTTGTAGAAGAAGTGCAATCCTGCGCCCGTCGATATGGCCTATGTCGATCATGATTTTGGTTTCCTCTTTAGGTTTCCACAACTCTTCGATAATCGACGTTTTGACCTGTGGCACTCGCAACTAGAACTCACTTTCGGTCGGACTCTCGTTGGTCTGCAGAATTCAGCATACTACAGGTTTCGGATACAATTACCGCTAGCATCATCTTTTCGTAGACATGGGCTTACTTTCGGTTTTCCCGTGATAACTGCAAC